TGGGGGGAAGGCGGGGAAGCGCAATCACGAGGTGACGGCGCATTGCAATGCCCGTGCTTGTGGCATGTTTGCCGACAGCGATCTCCATGCAGAGAAGAGCCGAACCTGAACGACTAGCACGGACCTTGGTGCGATCTCGCCTCGCGTTCTTCGGGTCGGAACGTCTTCGTAGATTGAAGCTGAGCTGGTGTCTGGATGGGCATGCAAGGCGCATCTAACCATCTCACACCCGAAATTCCAAAGAAAAAACCAACTCCTGGCTCCTGGTTGCTTCGACTTCGCAGGGCATGCACCCGCAACCGCCGCAAGCTGTACTGAAGCCTTGAAAGGTCGAGGAGGGACGAGAGAGCCAGGGTCGACAGCAAAAGCCTGGCCTTCCCAAAGAGGGCCAGGGCCCCGCTGTGACTCCACGTCTTCATCCCTGACCTGACGCAGAAAAGTTTAGGATTTAGGGTTCAGGGGCTTTGGGTTTACGTGGTCGGTGCATGGTAGAGCGCAGCTAGGCAAACCTGCCGACCCATTACTGAAACAAGAGAGGGAGATCGTGAAATTTTCTGCTTTCAGACTGGTTGCCGGTCACAAACTCGCACGATTTCGGCCTTGAGCTTAGAGCTTAGGGTTTTCGGAACTCTTTCTAGCGTGACGGGAGCACCAGAGACCGGGATGCGCTCTGCAAGGAACTGTCGGCTCATCCTTGTCGAGGCTCTCGAGGTTCTCGAAATGCAGAGCTGTTGTGAGGTCCAAACAGGCAGGCACTGGCACTCAAGAGACGCGCAAAAGCTCAGGAACCTACGGCGAGAGCAGATAAGTTGATCCTATCACAGGTGCACTATTGGAAATCCATGACGGACGCAGAGCGGCGGAACGCATCCTGACGGGAGATGCGGAGACCCGTCCAAGCAGCACGCCTTCTTCTGTCCTTGGGTCGCTTCTCGCACGCTATTGGGGGATGCAAGCCATGTCTACAGTGGCTGGTCGAGACAGTCCACGTTCAAGGCACAAGAGAAGCTCTGCACGCGACTTTGCACACGCCTCGTCAGCGAGCTGTCAAGCAACAAGCCGCAAAAGGGCGGGAGCTTGAGAATGCCAAGGTGACCAAAGTGACCAGCAACACTCCAGAGGACAAGGAAATGAGAGCCGGAGATGGCACAGAAGTGCCTCGAAACGACAAAACTGAAGCTGGGAAGCCTGGCTTCCGGAGCCTCTTGCATCACTTGCAGAGACTGACGACAGAGCCATCGCCGGCGTGAGGCGCCAAACAGCCAGAGCCCCGGAACGACTGCTTCCACTCCCGAAAACTCGAAGGACAACACGGCCCTACTCTAGCCAGGGCTTTCTGAAAACTCACAAGACCGGCAGCCCAGAATTTCAGACTTCAAGTTCTTAACATTTAACATACCGGTAGCTGCGTTCCTGCAAGCACCAGTCGGGTAAAAGTTAGTGTCTACTGCTGAACGTATCTGCCGGCCCACAAACCAACATGCTGTCTTGCAACACCCTGTCAGAATTCGTTCTAGCTGACTGCTTGATCAAGCTTCCACCCATGCCAAACCAAAGAAGCACTTGGACAGCGTCAGCGCTTGCGGCAAGAAGCAGCACCGACGTTTTCAGCTCCCACTCCCGAGTGAAAGATCCCAAGTCGGAAGCTCCGAGCTCATCTTTCGGTTTAGGGTTTAGGGTTTTGGGTTTAGGGTTTTGGGTTTAGGGTTTAGGGTTTAGGGTTTCCCAGGCCGGCTGCTGCAGTCAGCTTTAAGCTGTAGGGCGGGAGTTCCAACGGACCGAGCAACGGCCCAGCAAATGTTCTGCGCAGTGCTGGGCTCTGCAAGGAATGTAAGGAGCAGCAAGATGTCCCACGGAAGCGGATCTGAGACGCCAAGGGGATCCAGGTCTCCAAGAAAACATCTCCTGGTCTCGCGAAGCCTTGCCTGAATACGGTCAGGATAAAGCCACAGATGGCGCATGTATTGCCCGGCCCTTTCTGCAGGCGTTAGGTCGCTGTTGGGGGTCCAGGGTTAACAAGTTTGGAGTGTAGGGTTGGGGGCACTGCGCCAGCTCGCGTGAACCACAAGGGACGTCTCACCCAGCTTGTCGAAGAAATTGCGACACACTCGGTGCTCCAGGCACACCCACAGGTTTTCCGAAAGCTACCGTAGGACGGGCAGTTATTGGAATATCAGTGGTTGAAAACGGCATCGGCGCATCAGCAGCAGGGGCGGCAGCTGTGGCAGCTGAGTGCAGTGCAGGTGGTGTTGGAACCCACCGCACACCATGGTAGCTTTGGCCATCGAGAAGGAGAAGAAGCTACTTTTCTGGAGTTTAGGAGTTCGGCTACCGTCAGTATCTCCTACGCTGCCCTTACAGCACTAGCTCTCACAACTGGCTGCAATCCATTCCTGCTTACCTTTGGTTAGTAGGGTATGGAGCAATGGGGTACAATTATCACTACTATTACTGCCATTCTTCCCTAAACCCTAAACCCTAAACCGTACTACTACCATTCTTCCATTCCCTACTCACCAAAGGTCAGCCTGGGGTTCTTTGATGACTGGGGGAGCTTTCCGAGCCGAGCGGTTTGAGCCTTGAGCCGAGAACCGGCAGAATCCCAGAAGAGCCGGCGGAGTTTAGAGTTTTAGGGTTTGGGGATTTAGGGTTTAGGGTTTAGGAGTTTAGGGTTTTAGAGTTTACTTGGAGGTTCATGGGTAGTTATAATCGAGTTATAAGTCGCTAATATGGGTTATAACTATAGTTACCCAACTTATAGCCTCACTTATAACTACCCATGAACCTCCAAGTAAGGTTGAGTTGGGCGGAACTCCGGGCTACGAAACCCTGAATGCTAGGAGTGCATTCCAGCCACTGTGCGTATCAAGTTACCTTGCTTGGTCTAAATAGGACGGCACAGAGCACTGCAGCAAAAGACCCTCTAGCCAGGCTGACGATTCGTTTGGTTTGGAGCCTGTCGGAAGCTGACTGCCACTCATGCGCTGCAACACAAGGGGTCAGCACATTGCGAGGAGACGAGCTGCACAGCTTGCCATGAACACAAAACCAGCACAGCGTCGAGAGCAGCTGGTCAACGGTTGTGGCACGTAATGAATGCATAGCAAGCACTTCAAAAGTTGTCGTGTTGGTTTGAGCTCATGTTTCGGCTGGCCTATGTGCACAGAAGCTGCAAACAAACATCAACACGAGAGCCTGCATGAATGTCTCTACTCTGTGGGAATGTTGGTACATGGATGCAGGGATGTGTGAAGGCAGGGTGGGGTGGCTCGGATAGCTCAGGACTTCCAGCAGCTCACTCCGACCTGGCTCCGTCTAGCAATAGCGGCGATAAGTACATCTCCTTTCGTGCTTGGCTTTACGGTCATATGTTCCTTAAGGTGCAGGGACACAGTATTTGTGTTTTGGTAACACATGCAAAATCCCTCCCTGGGCCGTCCAGTTAATCAGATCTACTTGCGTGTTGATGCTTATGTTCACGTTTCTCGGAAGAGGCAAGCAGTCAACTTTTGCAAGGCATGGGACCGCTTATGGCGGTACCTGCAGCTGCCGAGCTGCACCTTGGCAGCTCAGATCCCTTGTTACGCAATTGATAGCACCAGTATGCAATATCCAAGCCCTCCTTTCAAGCCTAACAACAAGAGGCCGCTTGGTCAAGCCTGCACACCGCAGTAGCGTGGATCAACTGAAGGACCGACCGAGACTATGCTTGGAAAGTCCTGCGTAGGTATCCTCAACCTTAAACAGGACCATCCGGCAAAGAGCATGCCTGACGAGCTTACGTACGCTCGATACGTGCCCCAACACACGCAGTACGCTCGAGGGTCTCAAGTCGAGCGGACATATGTGAACCGTGTCAGATTTGGCTGCAGCAGCGAAGGAAGGCGAAGAGGTTGGATGCCTTCGAGAGTCTGTGTCTTGCGCAACATCAGTCTATGTGAGTGGCTTCGGAGATCAGTCACTGAGACTACTCACTAGTCTGCACAAAACGTGGAATTTCCGGGGCCGTTCTCGGGCTCGATATCTTGTAACGAAGCTCCATGATCTCAGTTGGTCATCTAAGTCTACTTCTGAGGATAAGGGCGCCTCTGACAATCCATCTATATAACATTGTAGCATTGTAGCACTTCGGTCTGCACAACAGCACTGCCGGAAGTTTACGTAGTGTAGCCAGAGGGAACCACTCAAGCTCTGACCATATGTAGCTTTCTATTAGCATATATACTATTGCAGTATACTACAACGTTACTGCAATATACTATATGAGTATATAGCTTACAATAGTATACTACTCTTCCATTCTATAAGTGGCTTCCAACAGCAAGTTGAAGACTTTGCACTTGGGGCATCAAGTCTGACGGAAGCTACGATTCAGAGCCTGAGGATTAGCAGAAGCTTTGCACTCCAGATCCTCCCAGAATTCATGAGAGGAGTCAGCGGGATTCTGAGCTTTAGGGCGACAAGATCGAAGCCTCTGGCAGGAGATCCTTCGAAGAAAAATTAGGGGTACCTTATTCTGGGGTCCTTATAATGGGGATCCTACTATATTAAGGTACTATACTAGGGTCCCCTATTTTCGGAAACTCCCATTTCTGTAGGGCTTGCGAGAGCTGTTGGAAGTTGGCAGCACAGATGCTATCCCCCGTACTCAGTGCCCGACCTGTGCCAGCTTCGACGTCCAGGCCTCGCAGGATCAGGATGAGGTGACAGGCGTGCACAACCCGCAGCAAGAGGAGGGCACATCACGTTTAAGTCACCTGCATCTTTGGCCAACTGGTTTCGAAGCACATTTTGCCACCACGAAGCGTCACTGAAACTTCTCCCTGGCCACAAGCATGGCTGCTCCCTTCGATTTCGAGGGGTGTGCACAGTTCTGCAATGTTCTGTAGCCCATTCAACCACCTTGGGCGGTTTGGGCCAACACAGGTTGGAAAAATAGCAAAATCCACAGTTTTAAGAAGTAAGCGCTAGAATGGAGGAACGGCTCAAGCAGTCCGTCCTTACTTGAGGTTCACAGGCTTGACAAACGGAAGCGCGTTCTCAAGCCCTATCATGTAAGCAAAATAATGCAACTCATCCGACGACTCACAGTCATTCTCATCTATCTTGCGAGACAGAGTCTGAAGACGTTCAATCCAGTAACGCTCACAGAAGCCCATGACCCGTGTTCTCTGCCTCTGCAACCTGCAGATGATGAAATTGCAGCTAGTTTCAAACCCTGGAAGAGTCCAGAAAGCAGCTATCAGCATCAGAAGAAGCGAGCCATGAGTGATGCCCAAGATCGCAGAAAGATAGCTGAGAGAATGACATACCTGCCCCTCCAAAGCACATGAACCAGCTTCCATACTTTCCACACTTCCCCTGCAGTCGTGCATCGTCACAACGAGGCTGAGGACTCCCACCACTGTAGGACTGACCATGAACAACAGAACAACACATATAGGCCAACTGAGCCTTCTCCAAGGACCAGCACAACAGCGGCCTGTCACTATAGAGAGGACGGCTAGGGGCCACACCAAAGCTGGCTTATAGATGAGTCTGAACGGCGACTTCTGCACTTTCATTGCGGCATCCCAGGGCAAGTAAGCTTTCACCAACAGACTGGCCAACCAGCACGTCAAAAATGCCGTCGTCACCAATGCCGGCAGCACCGCCTGACCGCTCGATAACATAAGCAAGATGTTGGCCAGCCCGAAAAGACAAGCGACAACTACAGGGACCACGAACAGGATAGATGACACGCACACATGAGTGTTCAGCTGCAGTATGCGTTCGGTGGCAGGTGAGCCACCATAGACTGCTCGGAACCCAAACCGTTGCAGTAACTTCCACCAATCCCTGCTATGGACGCCGCAGTTTGCGAGGTGGAGTTGCAGAAACGTGGGTTTGCACTGTAGGCTTTGGGCCAAAGCCTCAGCCCCTTCAAAGCCGATGTTCGTCTCTTCCAGAGACAGGATTCGCAAGCGGTTGGTACTGCTGATAGCCTTCGCGAGATGCTTTGCCCCTTCCAGTCCAATTGCATTGGAGTTCAGGTTGAGGTTTACCACTTTGCAGGATTTTAAGCAGTTGGCCAGGATTGAAAGACTCTTGTCGCAAATGCGGTTGCTCGCCAAATTCAAGCTCTGGCAGCCACGGTCTCTAGGAGGAGTCGTCAGTGCATTTTGCACCTCTGTCATGGCATCAAGGCCGATGAAGTTGTAAGCAAAGCTGACATGCTGAACGTATCGAAGAACTCCGGCAAGATGGCTGGCAATCTGGTCGTCGATCCGATTCCTCTCAAGAATGAGCAGTTGCAGAGCTTCTAGATCCGGGATGGATCCGGCCAGATCTTCTGCGCCCTGGTCCGCAAATGTGCTGTCCGTGATCGAAAGAAGCTGAAGGTTGTGGTAGAGCCCCGTCTGCAAACTATTGGAAAGCATGTCGATTTCCCCCTGTGGCAGCTTCATCACCCTCAAGGTCTTGCAAAACTTTGCCTTCTCTTTGAAGACTGTCTTATGTAAATCCATGACTGCATCTCCATCACGGCTGTGGGTAAATTTAAGCTCCTCTGCTCTCACCTTGTCCTTGAAACTCTCTGGATCCATTGGAGCTCTGGCGAAGACCTCGTCAGACATGTGCCCCAATATGAAGGTTCGATCCGTGCGGGTGCGCATTCTAGACCACTGGCTTTCCGCTTGACACCAACCTCGCTCGTCATAAGGGTCGACATTATGTCTCAGCTGAGAAAGCAGCACGTCTTGAAATTTACCTGCGAAATGACATTTCACTGAGACTGCATCATTCTGGAGCTTCTCCAACGGGCTGACATCCGGCACGATGTAGGTAAACGTAAAATCATGTGAATATAGAACATGCATGCTGCGCAAGCTGTTTTGGAATGTTGTCTCCTCTAGGCCTTCTTTCCGAGGATATTGATTCAGAGACATATAGTCGATGAAGTACCAGCTCCACTCGTCATGCCACAACTTGGCACTCATCAAGATTGACAGTTGGTTGCCTGTGGGATCCGGATGCTCCATTGACTCCCATACGTGGGAAAGTGCGATTATGCGGATCTTGGAGCGATACTGTTCATCGTCCCTCCACTTCTTAATGTCCTCTGTGCTGACAAAAACATTTTCACTAGCATTCTCTTTCTCCGCTTCTTGGCGGCGAACGAAGTGCTTCGTAGTCTTAGCTGCGAGATATTGGCCACGCACCAACTTGATGTCGACATCCTTGTACATGTCTTTGTTCAGGAGTAAGCTGGCCAAGGTTTCAGGATTATGCAAGCCAAGAAGATCGATATTCGTCGTAGGGCCACGTCTCAACCTGTTCGGGTTCGATGCAGGCGGCGACTGCGAAATATCTGTAAAAGGTGCGGGACTTACAGGAGCCGATGGCATGGGTTCAATCCAGCTACAAAATGCCGCAGCAAGATCTCTTCTACGGGCTCGTCATTCAACGATAAAGTGTGCATGCTACGGCTGCGATTTACTGCACGTATGTGACGTTGGCTGTAGACAAGTTCTTCACTTCTTGCAATCCAACAGTGCCATTGCTATTTCGCTTGCAAGCTTTTGAACATGCAACCTGCGGAGCTGGAAGGCGGCAAGGAAACACAGGGCACCTTCGTGGAGCTGACTGGTTTGGAGACTGAGGCACTCACCTGAGAACACGGCCAAGAGAATCTGCTTTCAGGCATTGGTCTCCCTGGCCGGAATAAGTTCGCAGGGACGCTGCATCAGAATCAGTTTGCACCCTTATACTTATATGGTCAGACAACGTATATAGTGGGAATTGAGAATTTGCATAGCATCTAAGTCTCTAATTGGTATCTCGAAAGTCCCAAAGCCAAAGGAAACCAGCATGTAGAAACCTGCCTAGATGCCTGGCGCAAAATCGCTTCACATCATTGCACAGCATTGCCATGCACAAATACAGCCCAGCACAAGAAGGACCTTGAAAACCGACTTCAGTTTGATAAACTCATTCAATCTCACTCGTTTGTGGTTCCAAGCAAAAACCCATCGGCCAGAGGAGCTGCAATTGCTTGGTACGGCCGTGAGTGCAGGGGTCACTCGCAACTGCGGCCTTTGGCCTCATGGTTTTCGTGAAGATGCGCTTTAACAGACTGGCCCATTTTGGTTCGGGCAGACCCTTCCCCCTCCGATCCTCCGCCCAGCTCAAACCTCTCATTGGTTCTGCATGACGACGCAGAACCTCCCGAAAGTATTTCCGACGCTTGGCCGACGAGTCCAAACGAATGCACGACACAACGCATTTCGCATTCTGTACCGATCCTATCCTGTATTATGCTGCACCGAATACCACTCTTACAGCACAATTGCTGTGCTGTCGAAACGACGCTCCGCAAATACTGTCTCACGATACTGTACGACAGGACGGTACAGTGTTGTGATGTGCACAAGACAGAAAGGGCAATGCAGGTCAAGGAGGCGACACTTGGGTTTCTCAAATGAACTGTCCCAACCTTCGTGGGTCAATAACCATGGAAACGCAAGCACGTCCGCTTATCCAAGTTCAGGGTCACAGGCGAAGCTCCTTCACACCCAAATTGCCCTGTCTTGTTGCATCTCTTGTCTTTGTTCCGCTTTCAACCCTGGTTTCGGCTTAAAAGAGCGGGTGAGGGTTGGAGGGCGCTAGGATGCTTGAAGCTTGTTTTCGTGGAGAAGAAGTTTCATTTTGATTATGCTGACTTCTTTGCTTTAAACCCCTGAAGCGTTTTCGTGTGGTTCTCTCACTTCTTCTCGCATGGAAAAGACGTTTGTTTGAGGTTTTTCAACTTGGCCAGCCCCAAACTTGGGGTTGAGGTCAACAATAATCAAGAATCCCTGAATTTCGATGGGTTAAACTCATCCCCCTGGACCATTACCCGGCCTTGTTGGAAGCCTTGGACAAGACGCCGGGCCACCTGTTGTTGCATCGATCACAGATCCTCCAAGGGGAAGGCAGCCTTCAGACTGACAATCAAGCATCAGCCGTGTGCATCATCCTTGGGTTGTCTATCCTTGATGCTGAGACAAGGGAACTTGTCCGGTTCGTCGACCCGGCACCGCAAGAGATACAGATGCAGCTAACGGGTAGAAGGGCACCCGCCCTCGCAAGCGGACTGCCGCCTTCATTCTCGTCTCTTTTTTGCGCCGGCTTCTGATCGGTAGCACGGCGTGTCAAGTGTGGCCTGAATAAAGCTGCCGTCCCCTCAGATTCACGTTGTCGGACCTCTTCCCCCTCGGACCCGGTCTCGGGGTTACAACCTGGGTTCAACCCCAACCTTCAACCCACTCTTCGGAGTATGCTCTGGGACCACTTCACTGCCGAGTGTACTAATTCCTGCGGTGGGTTCGAGTTAACCCGAACTCTAACCTCAGGTTAGAGCTGGAGTCAACTTCAATCCGTTCAGGTGAACTCCAACAGATTGGAGTTGGATGCTCTTACTCCGGGTTTGGGGTGAGGATTATAGAAGCTTGCCAAGGTTGTTGGAGTAACTCGAACCCTGACATTGACGCCAGAGTTCAATTTGGGAAAATCCGAACCCCCACTCCGACGCAAAGGTTGAAGTTGGGGTTTAATCGGACAGACACGTCGAGGTTAGGGTTCAATTCAACCCTGACTCCACCTCAGAGTTGTGGTTGACAACCTCAGATTCCGATTATCGGAGCTCCTTCCCTTCGAGCGTTCAACTCTCTCTCGAAACCGCAAATATCACAGCAAAACGTCTTTTCCACAAGAAGGAGAAAGTCACACAAAAACGCTTTGGAGGAGGATTAGAAGCAAAGAAATAAAAATTATCGAAATTAAACGTCTTTTCAATCGAACAAAAGAGGCTTCAAGCAGGTTCTAGCGCCCTCCAACCCCTCTCACGAAATGTGTCTTCCTTCATGCTGTATACGGGCACTGTTGGCTTGTTCGTCCTCTATAAGAGGCTGTCCTGGAGTTAGGTTCATTGAAAATGCCCATCCAGCCAGCCGGCCTTCTCATTCATGCTTTAATACTGCATACGTGGGCGGGCAAACTCCTCTTTTTTTTTTGGCGTGGGCGGGCCTCGTCGACTACGGCTGTAGCACTCGGTCCCTACAAACAAGACAAACCAACAAACAAACCAAAACAGCGGTGAAACAGGGCGGCTCGATAAAAAGAGGCAAAGAGCTAGCTGCGGCGCACAGGCTTTGCCGGTGTTGGCAATTCAGCACAAGCTACGGGGCCTCAGCGACCGATCCACAACAGCAAGAGGCCGTCGCCTTCCAAGACCACCGGTGGAGCCCAAAGTCGAAGCTCCGGCCGCCGTTCTAGTTCCGTCGAACAACGGTCAGCCCCGGGGTCTTGTTGTGTCGCGATCGTGCACCCAAAGTCCACAAGTCCACAGTGGAATCCACAACCATCGCCCGGCCAGTAAATGGACCCTACGACGTATGTCGCTGGTCATAGATGACTCTGATCTTCTGGAATGCGGGGCCAAGAATCCAGCAGGCGCTGCATGTCGTTGCCGCTGGTCGGAAAGTGGGATTCGCGCAACATGTACAACATTTGGAAATTGCGCTGCTGATACAGCTCCTGGCTCCTGTAGGCGGTAAAAGTCATATCGGTGTGCATCTTGATCCGGCTCATGGAGATGCGGCATCAGCTCAGTAGAGATGAACGGGATTTGAATGCCTGGGCCGATTCCACCCCGTTCAATGAAGGTCGCCGCTTCGTCTCTCCAATGTTCCTGGCCCCTAGGGTCGCCTAGCCGAAACCATGCGCGGCGTCCATCGGGCAGGGTCTTTTCGTTCGTCTCTTGGGCTACCAAGTGGTGGATGAGAACCTTGGCCCTCGTATCCCACGTGTCGAAATGGGCGTGGCGCCACAGGCGCACGGGGAAATAAAAGTCCTTTTTCTGTGGACCTCTCAGCCAATAAACCACCACCGCGCTAAGATCCCAACCAGAGGTGGTAGCAGCCGCCCGAAGGCGCCACAGGGCAGCATGCAGAAGGCCAGCGGACTGGATGGGAAGCGTGGGCGGCGCTTGCAGACCCAAGGGGACACCGTCCAGCGGGAGCATGAGTCTGAAAGTGCCCTTGCACATGCCCGGGTATGAGAACATTTGGGGGTCGAAGTCACCACGTCTAGCTGGGAGAAGCCCGCGATGGAAGCCTTCCATCAGCCGTGCGGCAATAGCGATTTGGGCCGCCCCACAAGGGAGGCAGGCACTTCCGCCTTAACCCGTACCTCAAGGAAATGCAGGTCATTCTGACAGACTGGGGAAATGCGCACGAGTTGTAGCAGGGGGGCTGCTTCAGGCTCATCCACCAGGGCCCGTGCAAGGTAGAACAACAACTGCACCGGCAACAGCACACCACAATGAAGCAAGGGGGTGCCCTGATTCGGGTCCATGCTCGAGCCTCCCTCCCCCGTTGCTCGCCGGGCGCTGGTTCCAGTGCCACGGCGCCTGCCCGTGGGTAAGGGAGGTCTCTTGGGTGCCAGCGACATTTGGATAAGACTACCACCATCTCGGACTGGCCACACCTGAAGTGGTGGAGGATACGGATGGTACCGAATGTTCATCATGGGCACCTGCATAGGCACTGGCGGTGGCTGCGGTGTGTTCTGCACCACAGGAGCCGGGGGAGGAGCTGTGTCTTTCGGTGGCTCTGCTGTTGCACTCGATGCCTTTGGGGCCTTTGCTGTAGACTTCGGGCCCGTCCTTGTTGTTGTTCTCGATGTCTTTGGTGGCGGGGCTGCTGTCCAAATGTTCACTTGCCTCGACGGTGCCACTGGCACAGGCTTGGGCGGAGTAACGGCACAGGCTTCGGAGGAGTGACTGGCGCAGTTCCCGCCGTCTTTGGCGGAGTGGCCGGCGCATTTGCCGTCGTTTTTGGCGGTGTAACAGGCGCCTGCTTTGGAGGCGTGAGGGGCTGCTGCATGCCACGCGCCGTGGCCACCAGCTTCTGTCGTCTCGCAGAGGCCTGCTCCCGGAAGCGAGCCAACTGTTCCACCTTCTCCTGCATCATATTCTCGTGCGAGCTGGCGGGCATAGTATGGGAACTGATGGTCGGCTTCCAGGTCCCCCAGTTCTCGTCGTCGCTCTCCGAAGCAACCTGTTCCCGGATGCTCTCCACCGCCATGGGAGCACTCGAAGAAGTCGGCATTGGAGCCGGGGGCCCAATTGGGGCCACTCTCCCTCGCCATGCGTAGGTGCCCTGCTCCACTGGAGAGTCCGGGCTGTCCTGACGAGCCAACGATCGAGCTCCCGACTTGCTCAGTGGAGCCTCTGGTTCTACCCCTGTGCCTGGGATAGCGATCTCCTCCGGAGGCGTTACCGGTGAGTTCTGGAACTCCGCAAAGAGACTCGCGGCGAAGCTCGTTGGAGAAGCTGGGGCTTCTGGAGCAGCGCTCTCCGAAACTC